TCTTTTAGGGTGAAAATGATTTGCTGATAAATGAACATCAAAAGCAAAATACAAAAGAATAATAAATGATAAACCAAATCGTTATAGGAGAAATTACATCATAATTTAGGTTTGTGATGAGGGAATACGTGCATGATCTTGATCAGCTCTTCTGGATTTAATGTCATAAACCAAATGGGTTTTGTTTTATTAATTTCTTTGCTTTCTGCTCCGCTCACGTCTCACACTGTTGAGTTTTCTTTTCAATGTTGTATATAAATTGTAAATATCATCCTCCTTACTAGTTGACGTTTCCATCGTCACTGTAAATATGAAAAGCAATCGAGTGTTTGCTTTGATGGACGTAATTCCTCACTAAAGTTTTCCCACATTCACCACTGAACACACCAATGAACAAGATGATGATGATGATGATGATGAAGAACAGTCTGCTGATGACAGGAACAGGCAGACGAGCTGGAAACATGAGAAAATAAAGAGAAATGAGGATGAATGAAGATATTAAAATAGACGAGGAAGAAACATTGAGAGGAACCAAGACTGATCAAATGTAGAGCTTTCAAAACAATCTGATATAGAAAGTTCAATATAAACCTGGCTGTAAACGTAAAAATAAATAAAATAAGTCATTTGAACAAATTAGTCATGATAAGATACTTATGTAGATCTACTTTTACTCTGTAATAAATAAAATAGGTGAAACAGATATTTAACTCAACGTAGACAGTAAGATAAAAAAAAGACCTGCTGTAAATATTGATCTCTACTTCATAAACTCCAGCATCTTCAGTTGTGATGTTTGTGATGGTCAGAGATCCAGTTTGTTTGTTCAGCTTCAGTCTGTCTCTGAATCTCCCATCAAGAACATCCTCATATACAGACATGCTGTCAACCCGTGTATTGATCACAGCTAAAGCGTTTTCACTCCCAAACCACCACTGAATCTTATCATCATCCATTATTTCAGTACGACCAGAGTTTAGAGTGACTGAATCTCCCTCCAGCACTGATATTTCACCTGTATCACCAAACATACACAGAGAACAAACAGAAACAGGGGTTTTCACAGATTAATACTGTTAAATAAAACAACAAATAGAAAGAAAATGGTGAATGAATTCATTTCAATTTTGTCATAAAAAAGTGGCTTTTTTTTTTACTCACGATAGACACGAAGAAAAAAATAAATCCTGATATGGTTGATCAGTAGTTCATAAATTCCAGCATGTTGAATTCTGGTGCTTTTGATTGTCAGAGATCCAGTTTGAACATCCACCTTCAGTCTGTCTCTGAATCTCTCATAAATGTGATCATCATATACATCGATGCCCTTTGCTGTTACATTAAGTTCAATTATTAAAGAGTTTTCAATCCAAATCTTCCACAGAATCAGATCTTCATCCATCATTTCAGTAAGACCAGAGTTTAAAGTGACTGAATCTCCCTCCATCACTAATATATTATCTATATCATTAAACACACAAAGAGAACAAACAGAAACAGGGTTTGTCACAGATTAATACTGTTAAATAATCAACAAAAAGAAACAAAAATTGTGAATGAATTAATTTCAAATTTGTCATAAAAAAGAAGAAAAAAAAGGTGACATTGTTTTTTTGTTTGTTTTTTTTACTCACGATAGACGGTGAGAACAAAATAAATCCTGATATGGTTGATCAGTAGTACATAACGTCCAGCATGTTGAATTCTGATGTTTGTGATGGTCAATGATCCAGTTTGTTTGTTCAGCTTCAGTCTGTCTCTGAATCTCCCATCAAGAACATCATCAAATACAGTCATGCTGTCAGCCCATTTATTGATTTCAGATATTAAAGTGTTATAAAACCTCCACTGAATCAGATTACCATCCATTATTTCAGTAAGACCAGAGTTTAGAGTGACTGAATCTCCCTCCATCACTGACACTGACTTCACTTCTGTATCACCAAACACACACAGAGAACAAAAAGAAACCGTGTTTGTTACAGATTAAGACTTTTAAATAACTGTAATTGTTTCTGAAAATAAAAAGTTTGAAACTGAGTGAATAATATGTGAATAATTTTCATAAAACAATAGAGCAGACACAAAAAAAGCGAAGAAAAAAAATGTGTGCATATTGTATTTGGTGATATTGGGGAAAAAAAAAGGTGAGACAAATATTTAACTCACCAAAGACAATGAGACTGAAAATTATGCTTATGTGGTTTATCAGTAGTAAATAACGTCCGGTATCTTCAGTTCTGGTGTCTGTGATAGTCAGAGATCCAGTTTGATTGTTCAGCTTCAGTCTGTCTCTGAATCTCCCATCAAGAACATCCTCATATACAGTCATGCTGTCAGCCCATAACGTCCGGTATCTTCAGTTCTGGTGTCTGTGATAGTCAGAGATCCAGTTTGATTGTTCAGCTTCAGTCTGTCTCTGAATCTCCCATCAAGAACATCCTCATATACAATCATGCTGTCAGCCTGTTTATTGATTTCAGCTAATAAAGTGATTTCAATCCCAAACCTCCACTGAATCACATCATCATCCATTATTTCAGTAAGACTAGAGTTTAGAGTGACTGAATCTCCCTCCATCACTGATTCTGACTTCATTTCATCAACACCAAACACACCTGAAAAACAGAGTTTGTCATATATTAAAGATTCAAAATAACATTAGTCTTACATGGTACCAGAACAGAAGCAATTGAAGTCATAAAACCATTTCAAACTCACCATCCAGACGCCAGAAACACAAACAAACCAAAACTAATTTGAGAAACATTTTCTTCATCGGTTCTCTGAAAAGCCCACGATAGCAGTGCTTAACATCTCTGAAACACGTCTGAACTGATGCCGTGTGTGTTTGTGGTCTTCCCTCAACAAGACTAGACCTCTGTCACAGTTTATTCTCACATGGCCATTTCCTTTAAAACAGGAAGTCATGAAAATGATCAATCTAATTATATTTTAAAGTGAATTCTGGCCCTGTATGATAACTAACAGCAGTAGAGTGAAGAGTTGAATGAGTGTCGGATTGTATCAGTTTCTAATGAGATGATCAGCTGTGTAGTTCATCAATGATGCATGATAAAAATATCTTGTTGGAATTTTGACTTAAGTAACTGTTGATGGATTCATTTTATTTAACTATAAATGTGTTTTGTAAGGAGTTGAAGTAAAAAAAAAAAAACATTTGGTTCATATTTAGCAGGAGAGAAAATAAAGAAACACTTCACCCACAAACCACTGACCTCTTTCAACCACGCTATAGACGCGCTAATGCAGAAGCTGTTTGTCCACCAAAAGACCAAACCACATTAGATGTAGATAAATCAGACCACAGCAGGTTCAACTTTAACTCACAAACTGAGCTGCTCACACTACATTGAGTGAATGACATTTAGCTTTTTTGCCAGTGATGCATTGCATGTGAGGCTCTGATGAGCTGTTGTTCTCAAAACCTCAAGAGAACATATACCTGGTGTGTGTATATGTGACATGGTGTCAGAAGTGCATTGTGCCTGCTGACTAAACACAACCAGAGGAGACATGTCAGTGTTTCCACTCCATGGCCTCTGAGGATTCAACGCTTGGAAGCCCATACTCAGAATAAATTCCCAGTATGGGTTTCCATTCCTGGTGTGATAGTTCGATTGCAGGGGATGTTCATGAGAAACATTTCAAAAGGGGCAGTCGTGGCCTAATGGTTAGAGAGTCAGACTTGTAACCGGAAGGTTGTGGGCTCGAGTCTCGGTACCGGTGGGGATCGTAGGTGTAGAGAGTGAATGAACAGCGCTCTCTTCCACCCTCAATACCACGACTGAGGTATTTCATGGCATTCAGCGGGTGTTGCATGCATCAGTCCAAAAGAAGTTAAATAAAAAGCGCCCATCCATAAAAAAAGTGTCTCACACGGCTCCGGGGGCTGAACAAAGGTCTTCTGTAGCGAAATCGATGCGTTTTTGAAAGAAAAATATCCATATTCAAAACGTAATAATCACTTGAATCTAGCTTGCGCTCACTGTTGTAAACAGAAGCAGTTCCGTGAGAATGACGTTGCCTCGGGGGTGAGTAAAACGCAGCCTAATTTTCATTTTTGGGTGAACTAACCCTTTAAGCAAGGCACCAAAACCCCCAACTGCACCGGGTGTGTGTTCACGGTTTGTGTGTTCACTACTCCCTGCTGTGTGTGTGCACTTGGATGGGTTTAATACAAAGCACAAATTCCGAGTATAGGACACCATACACTTTCACATTCAGCCTGTACACTAAACATTCTATCTGATCCAGACACAAAGTGGAGCTATTCTCAGACGTAACAGGCGTCACATAATAAAACTACCAGTTCACTACAGAGGCTAGTAGTGAATCACGTTTGGTTTTCTCTCCCAAATAAAGAGAGATTAAGGGTTGTTTTGTAAGTAAAGAGATTTGGAATACGCTTTCTTTCTTTAGGAAATGGTATTCCTATTAACGATTATGCAGTTTTGTAATTCAACTAGCTTAAATGTCATTCTAATTTGAATTTCAGAATGAGAAATTTAACAGAGGTAGCCAAATAACTTAATTTTTTTATTTGTTGGTAGTAATAGTAGAAGAATGTGCTTAATAATGTAAACATTTACAAATCATGTATTAATAGTGTAAAGCTGTATATGGCATGCTCTGCTAAACTTCTGAATTCCTCCAGGAGGTGCTCAACATAAGTGTAATAAAACATGAAGAGACACTTGAGCATTAAAAAACTTTATTGATAAAGGCAAGCAGATAGACATGGCAATGGACAGCAGTAGTAAAGTGAGATCTGTGTGTCTTATCTGAGAAAAATATAAACAATAATGCCTTTCAAACTGCATTTTAAAAACTCAGACACTGAAAACTGACAGAGCATGAGCTTTCTGCTTTAGATTTCAATACTTCCTGAAAAAAAGATGGACATATAAAGCTATAAATTAAGTAATCTCACAAATATTTACATATGCAAAACAATTTGTGAGAAATGACATCAATCATATCCCTGGTGTGTGAATATGTGCTTGATCTTGTTCAGCTCTTCTGGATCTGATGTCGTAAACCAGAAGAATGACAGTAGCCACGCCCACCAGAGCAGAGAGGACCAATCGGATCACAGCTTCAGTAGAACCATAACAGTGGACAGAGTCTGAGGAATAAAAACATCAAACTGAGATCAGCTCAGTCAATAATCGTTAATATCAGCGCCGACATCAACTAATATCAGCTGCTGTACCTGAACATGTGTGACAGAGTTGACTGATGTCCAGATGTTGAGTCTGGTTGCTGATGGGATTGTTGAGCACACAGCTGTAGGTGTTTTTATCCTGATATTCCACCTCCAGAGGTAGAGAGAGACTGATGCTGAGATCAGACACACTGATGCTGGACAATAAACTGTTTCCTTTGTACCAGGAGAGAGTCACATGACTCACATTAAACACTGAACACACCAGTGAACAAGATGATGATGATGATGATGATGATGAAGAACATTGTGAAGAGTTACTGCTGATGACAGGAACAGGCAGACGAGCTGAAAATATAAGAGAAATAAAGATAAATGAAGATATTCAAGCAGATGAGGAAGAAACATTGAGAGGAACCAAGAATGATCAAAAGTATAACATTTAAAACGATTTAATAGAAAGTTAAATATAAAGCTAAAAAAGCTGATTTGTAATTCTAAGTAATTAGATACTTCCTTAGATTTACTTTAATAATGCTGCAATAAATAAATGAAACCAATAAAACTCACCTGTAGTTTATAATATCCATCATGTTCAGGTCTGGTGTCTGTGATAGTCAGAGATCCAGTTTGTTTGTTCAGCTTCAGTCTGTCTCTGAATCTCCCATCAAGAACATCATCATATACATCGAATATGTCAGTCGGTTTATCGATTATAGCAATTAAAGCGATTTTAGTATATGAAAACCACCACAGAAACACATCACCACTCAGTATTTCAGTAAGACGATTGTTTAGAGTGACTGAATCTCCCTCCATCACTGATATTTCATCTGGATCAACAAAACACACACACACACACAAAACAAACAGGGTTTGTCACAGATTAATACTGTTGAGCAAATGTAGGATGGTTTATGAAAGTAAATGGATATTTAAATTTGAAATTAATAATATTATGCAACAGAACAGACACGCTCTGTGGATTAATTATTGCATCTTTAAACTAAAAATTTTAATTCATGTTTAACTCACTATGGACATTGAGAAAGAACATAATCGCCTTAATATAATTGCTATATAGTTTATAAACTCCAAAGTTTGTGATTCTGGTGTTTGTGATAGTCAGAGATCCCGTTTGTTTGTTCAGCTTCAGTCTGTCTCTGAATCTCCCATCAAGAACATCCTCATATACAGTGATGTTGTCAGTCCGTTTATTGATTTCAGCGATTAAAGTATTTTCATTTCCAAACCTCCACTGAATCTCATCATCATCCATTATTTCAGTAAGACCAGAGTTTAGAGTGACTGAATCTCCCTCCTTCACTGACACTGACTTCACTGTAACACCAAACAGAAAGAGAACAATCAGAAACAAGGATAAAAATGGTTATTTGATGGTTTACTAAAGTAAATAGTTTGAAGTTTAAATTTGAAATGAATATCATCATGAATCAACAAAAGCAAAATGTAGTTGGTTTATTAATTGCATCTTTGTACTGATTCAAATATAAAACAGGTTAAATATATATATATATACTTACTATCAAATACAGTGATTTTGAAACATTTTCTCACACTTTTGGTCTGTAGTTCATAACGTCCAGCATGTTCAGTTCTGATGTTTGTGATGGTCAGAGATCCAGTTTGATTGTCCAGCTTCAGTCTGTTTCTGAATCTCCCATCAAGAACATCCTCATATACAGACATGCTGGCGGCCGTTACATTGATTTCAGATATTAAAGTGTATTCATATCCAAACAACTGACTCAGATAATCAAGGAACCTCCACTGAATCACATCATCATCCTTCATTTCAGTAAGACCAGAGTTTAGAGTGACCTTGTGTCCCTCCACCACTGACACCGACTCCACTTCATCACCAAACACACCTGAAGAACATTTGTTTTTACAGATTAAGATTTAAACTCATTTGATGTTGATTTGATGAAGCTTCACTAAAATACTATTAATAATTGAAATGAATAACATCTACAGCAGTACAAAGACAAAAGGAGAATTTTGAAAAGAGAATTTATATGGAAAAATAACTAACTTGAATGAATCTTAATACAACTAACACTAATGCTGTTGCTTGTTTGAGCTTCATATTTAACTGAATCAATCACTACTGAATAACCTGAATAACTTGAATTCAAACTTGATCTCAGATTAGTATCATGGTGCATTTATATATGAGAATAACAGTGAATGTTAATCATCTCTAATGTAATCAGTCATTTATTACATGATATCAGAACAGAAACAACTGAAGCTATAAAAACACATTTCAAACTCACCATCCAGACGCCACAAACACAAACAGAACAAAACGAATTTATGAGCCATTTTCTTCACCGGTTCACTGAAAAACCCACAACAGTGATGCTTAAAATGTCTGAAAACACTCCCGACTGAACTGTGATATTTATCTGGTTGTGTCCTCCCTCAACCTCAGCTAGTTTCCGCTCACACGTCCATCTCCTTTAACATCACGAAAATCAACAAGCTTTTGCTGATCTTGACTAACGTGACCTGCCAGAACTAACGCTACGCTAGATTTTCAAATGAATTCTGGGCCTGAATGAAAACTAAGAAAAGAGTGAAAAATTGGATTAGAAATCAGTATCTACTGGTGTTTTATTTAGTGTTGTCAGCTGTCAATCATATTTGACCTCTGACTAGGGTGTGTGCAATGTTGAAACAAAATATATATATATATATATATATATATATATATAAAAATGTTTCGATTTTTATTTAGATTTTGTAAACAACAATGTTGCTAGACTCCTGAAGTTTTTCATATTCTAACTTCTCCATTAAAGTTAAAACAAACAATATTATGTCTAAAATGTAACTCAATGTTAACTTCTTGTTTGTTGAACTGTTGCATAAAATCAGTATCACATTTGCTGATCATGCTGATGTTGAGGAAAAGAGCACGCTTGCTCGTATGATATTGCTTAATTCTGTTATATGAGGCAAGTATAAAAAGATATAAAAGGTCATACAGAATTTATACTCATATCTTGACTTTTGTGGTCATTCTAACTTGCATTGCATAAGCTACTTCACCCAGTGAAAGCGCACGCGAAGAGTTTATCATACTATAGGAGAATTCACAGCAACCACAAACATCCAGCAGAAACTGTTTATCCACTGACAGATCAAACCAGATTTCTGTACAGATTCTGTGCAACACAAATGGGAAAAATACTGCAGGGTATGTTTTTAGAGTGTAATCATAATGTTTGCATGTTGTTACAATAAAATTCATCAATCGAATGTTAATGAGAAGTAACCTGTAAATGTAATTGTTCATTTAGAGAAATTTGCGTTTGTTTACCTGAGAGATTTGGGGTTTAGAAAATCTGATGAGAAATACTTGAGATTGTAGCAAGATCTCTGTTTTTTGATCGCAGATTTGGGCAAATCTAGGCAAAACAACTCTTTTGAAACTCTAGTTGAAACATGAGTTTAGCTTTCTCTTTTATTCTGGAGAAAATGAAGTGTAGAGGCCTGGATCAGTAACAAGGCTTAGAAAAAATTTCAGGTTCCATCGTCCCAAAGTCAGTGGTTTTTTTCAATGGGTTAAATGGCTGAAAAACAGTTAACAGTCCATAGTTAACAAAAGCTCAAGATATTTTTATTCTACGTAGGGGTGTGTGATATGATTATTTTTGATGATGGACGAAAAAAATGTCTCCACAATCTGCGTTTGAAGAAATATCATAGTATCGTGCTATAGCGCACATTCTATCAGTTGCAGTTCTGGCGCCTCCAGCTCAATATAATGTACAATGTGACATTCACATCAAATGTTAACTCTGCAGGAGTTACACTCATGGGACACTGCACTTATTCCAATCACATAAGTACCTTTGCATGTGCTTTAATGCCTTGCATCTCATAACATTCAGTGCCTTTTGGTGACTTGAGTAGGATCTGGGTGGATGTTATATAGTGTGTGTAATAGCTTTCAGGTGAGCGTGTGATTGGTTACAGCTGAGTGCAATGAATGATGGGAAATGTAGTCCAGGGTGTGTAAGTGTGAGAGTCCATGTAGTGAGCTGTGGACCTCTGGTGGTGAGTGAACGGAAGTTCATAGACCGGATTCGTGACAGCTGCAGATACCAGTTATTTTATGCTACCATTTGGAGTAACTATTTTTTTAATAAGCCCTTTTTAACTGTCCTCTTAGGTTGTTTTGAGAATGTTCTGTAGGCCACTAATAAAAAAGGACCTCTGTACATTTGTTTGTTGCAAATTTACAGACAATGCAATTGAGATGTTTACATTGGCTTGTTGGGGTAATATTTCTTTCCACTGACAACAAAGTGTTCCTTCTGAATTAGGATAACTGCACAAGTTTTATAGTTAATAAAAATTTTAAAAGCAAATTACATTAGTTATACTTTAATTTCCTTCAATAAAAAGGAAATTGAGTAAGACGGTGTAAAAGGCGTGTGGACGTGGATTAGTAATCTGGCCCCTTGGTATAAAGGAGAAACAATTCTGGCCCTCGTCATCAAGTTGCCCATCCGAATCTGAACATATTACTGCTTTTTTAATTCTATTTTCCTCTACCCGCTGGAGAGCCATAACAATAGCTACCAACTCTGCTGTAAATACAGATAAAAAATCCGGGGTTATTTTCTTAATAACTATTGCATATTGCGGAATAACTACTGCTATTCCTGTTTTCATAGCTTCTGGATCTTTTGAACCGGCGTGTGGACGTGGATTAGTAATCTGGCCCCTTGGTATAAAGGAGAAACAATTCTGGCCCTCGTCATCAAGTTGCCCATCCCTGGTTTAAATTATTCGGTTCAATCGCAATGACTCACTTATTAACAGTGACTTGCTGCCACCTAATGCCGGTTTTAATTTCACATTTGAAATATCTTTTCATTTAAAAAAAAAAAATTATTTCAAATATCAGTCTTAATATTACTTTTTCCATATTCCCAACTTTTAAAAAATATTGCTTTAGTAGGGTGTTCATTGTTGTGCCCCATCAAAGATACCCAATATACCATTTACAGTTGTTTACGTCTTATTTCCAACAGCATGTCTCCCATTTCAACTTGCACGGAAGCTCTAGGGGAAGTTTTAAATGCCCCACAACATAATCTCAAAACCTGCGTCTGTACTGCATTTACTTTTTTTAGTAGAGACTTACTCACAGAACCATAAATCATACTATCATAATCTATTGCTGATCGGATGATAGCCATATATATATACTGGCCCTCGTCATCAAGTTGCCCATCCCTGGTTTAAATTATTCGGTTCAATCGCAATGACTCACTTATTAACAGTGACTTGCTGCCACCTAATGCCGGTTTTAATTTCACATTTGAAATATCTTTTCATTTAAAAAAAAAAAATTATTTCAAATATCAGTATTCAACGTTTTATGTTTAAAATATCAAAACAGTATTAATGCATTTGTAACTACAGGTTAAAACATTCATGTTCTGCATTAAACAGTGTGTAAATACATCTAAATGCCACTTCAGATGTAGCTTCTGTGTTTCCTCTGCATTGCAAAGATGAATTTTGTCAATACTGATTTCATTTGCTTGGTAACAGCCATAAATTGCTTATTATTCTAATTGACTGATTCAAGTTAAAAATTTGACTGAAAAGATGATGCGCACTTTAAAAAAAAAAATGGCTTTATAAAGGTAAAAATGCCCATAAAAGGTAATAATCAATTTAAACTTACTGGATAAGATTCATTTCTATCACTGCTGTGAACTGATCACCACACAGAATATGCAGAATATCAAAAACTTTAGGAGTCGGCTGTCCACGGTGGTCCTTCTCAACCCTATCCTTATCAGATATCAGCACAATAATACACTCAGCAAAATATTGTCAAATTATCATTATTGATGAAATCCAAGAAAATATTGATATATTTTTTGTCAATATCGCACACCCCTAATATATTTAACGTTTTGTTTAGAAAAAAAATGTAAATAAATATGAGAAGTGCCCTTTTTCAAGAGGTATAAATACAGCAGACTAACCTCTATCCATCAACAGTTTATCAGCATCCCTCCACTGCCCCATCTCCTCACCCAAGGTATGTAAATGTGTAAGTTTTCCCTGCCCAACGATATTTACATACCTGATGACTCAATACGTGGATCCTTATTCCTCGAGGTGGCAATGTTTGATACACAATGATGACGTGATGCTTCTCTCATAATTACCGCAGGCATAAAACAAAAGAATATCATCAGCAAAAAATATATTGGTTTAAATGGCTTTACTGCAGAGCAATTACTGTACGCAATGAAATATAAATGTCACTGTCATTTGATGGTGGATGTGGTAAATAAGCTGCCAGTGATCAAAATATTGATTTTGAAGTCATTGAAGATAGTTTTGAGAATATGTGCTACCTCCCAGCTATAGCACAAATCGATAGCGAAAAATGCTACCCATCAGATTGTGCTACCAGCATCTTCATGTGGTTTGAGGCTTTTTTAATGTCCATAACTACCCCTACCCACCCACACCTATCTTTACCCTAAACTTACCCTTAAAACAATACAAATATATTTTTATTTGCCCTGACGATTTATTTGATATCCTTCCCTCTTCTGACTGCTAATCAATCTCTCTATATGTTTTTCCTATTTTGAAAAAGTCGTGTAAAACGATATCGTGAGTTTTGTGTTTTGCTTTTTTTATCCAATGAAAACACATAAATCATACCTGGGGCACGTTCAAGCGCAACGTTTTGCTACGGTTTCCGGGTCGAACGACATGTTTCCTGGAAACGGTGTGCAACGGGGTTTGAGATACGTTTTCTCTTGTTTGGTGGGTGTGTGAAAAATGTCAGCCCAATCAGCAGCAACATGTATATAAACCA